AAGCAATTTACAGCAAACCAGTAGCCAACATCAAACTAAATGGAGAGAAACTTGAAGCAATCCCACTAAGATCAGGAACTAGACAAGGTGGTCACAGCTCTTAAATGCTGAACTGTTTTCTAGTCTCTCATATTAAGATTTTACAAAATACAATTATATATAAAACATAAATCTAATCATTAAAGATTACTGTTAATAATAAAATATTAACTTCTAAAATTTCAATTTTGTTCCTCAAAGTTATATGTTAAAAGCAATATAAAATTCCATGTATATGAAGACCTACATTTAATATGTGAACCAATATGGTATTGTTATTTCATTATACTTTATCCTAAGTGACTTATATGGTTTAAAAATATTCTAGACTTAATAGGACTAGTGATATAACTGAGTAGTAAAATGCTTGCATATAATGTCCAAAGTACTGGGTTCAAGCCTCAGTACTAAAATAAATATATGGAATTTGATGCTTAAAAGAGCGTTAAAAAGGCTTTCCAATGTTGGTTTTCATTTATCAGAATGTTCCATATCAACTAACTGGATGAAACATAGGGATTTTAGTTTTTTTTCATGAAATTATGAACATTTTATTTATTTTATCTCATACATATGGGTGTTTTGCCTTCATATATATGTTTGAACAAATTGTGTGTGTGTGTGTGTGTCTGTGTGTCTGTGTGTGTGTGTCTGTGTGTGGTACCTGTAGAAGTCAGAAATTTCTGCCAGATCCTTTATTCCAAAGTTCCAGGTAGTTGTTAGCTACCATGTGGGAGCTAGGAATATAACCCCGGTCCACAGGAAGAACAGTCACTGATCTGTGGCAAAGCTATATACCAAGACTCTACATGGCATTTTTTTAAGTACCTGCTCATAAAATATGTGTAGCTTTGTGATGTTGCATTCCAAGCTGTTTTATCGCTTAGCCTCAATTTCTTCAGTATGATGAATGTGCTTTCATTATGAAGTTCCTGTCTAGTACATACAAAGTATCTCTTTGAGCCATTTTGCTGAAAATAAAAACTATGCTTTATAATCAGTTGTGTTATTTTTAATACTTATATTGTATTTCTTTAGTATCTTCATGTATAAAAGAAGTTCAATAATTTTCCTAGAATTGTGAAACATAATTTTATAAAATAAGTAATTATTCATAAGTTGATTTAGAAGCACACAGAGCTAGATTAACATCACTTCAAAGGCCTAAGACTAGCTGCCTGTCCTAGGTAGGGTTATTGCTATGATAAAACACCATGACCAAAGTAACTTTGGGAACAAAGGGTTTATTTGGCTTACATTTTCATATCACTGCTCATCATCAAAGGAAGTCATGTCAGGAACTCAAGTAAAGCTGGAACCTGAGGGAGGAGCTGATGCAGAAGCCATCAAAGGGTGCTGCTTACTGGATTTACCCCCATTCTTGCTCAGCCTTCTTTCTTATTGCACACAGGGCTACCAGTGCAATGATGACACTACTCAGAAAGGATTGAGCCCTTGCCTATCAATCACTAATTTAAAATAATGCACTGTAGACATGTTTACAGTCTGATTTTATTGAGATATTTTCTCAACTGAAGCTCCCTTAATCTCAGATGATGTTACGACCTTAACTTGTGTCAAGTTGAAAAAGAACCAGCCAGCTCATTCATAGTCCTGATTTGAAAGTTTGCCTTTTTTTGGGGGATGGGTTAAGGAAATTCACATGTCAGTAACATGGACTAACTTAACAATTAAGGAACTTGGCAGTAAATTAACAGCAATATGCCTGGGCAATTCTGTCCATGTACAATGGAGTGTGCCAAATGATTTTGTATAGCAATTTCTGACTATAGATTATATATGACATTATCAAAAAAAAAGTCATTGATAAAGTTCCTATAGAAATAGGTGATAAAGCAAGATCATGAGTGTGCATACTATAATTTGGAACTACAAGGATAAGAATCTCTGATAAGGAAAAATAAACCAGTGAAAAACACAATTATGAAACGAGTTTCAACTATGTACCACAAGGTTGTAAACATGCTCATAATGCTGGTTTTAATTACCCCAACTGATGGTTCAGTGAGAATTGTGGCTCATCTGCCCCACGTCATCTCCTATGTTCTACAATTGGAAGAAAATGCAGGCATGTAGAGCTTTAACTACTGGAAAATTGTGAGCTGTGAAAACTCAGAAAAAATTATGGCAAAGAGTCAGAGGTGCTTGGCACTGGAATTTGCCAATCAGTGTGCAAGGAATGCTGATTGACAAATAGGGTTTGGTTACATCTCAAGAGTGTAAAGGATACCAAGTAACAGGGAACATTCAGTAAAATATGGGAGATAGAAGCAGAAGAATGGATTCTTCCAATTGGACTTCTTAATGAACAATTTGTATTTTTATGACTATATTTAAAATATTTAAAATTCTCATGAGAACCTAAATGTTAATGTATTTCAAAATAATGATGCCACTATATATTAGCAGTCTTTTTGTAATTAAAATGGATAATATTGGTTTTGAGCTAAGAATATCTATTACTTATGTGTATGTTTTTTACTAATTTATATTTATATTTTAGCAAGTGCATTATCTTTTAAATATAGACATTCAAAAGAAGATAACATTTATCTTTACTCCATCTAAATAACTAGGCAGCTCTCCAATTTAACAGACATACTCAAACCATCCATGCTATTTAAAATGATGTTGAGTTCAAGGAATAATTATATATCTTATTTCTCATTATATGGCTTGTAATGGACACTTAAGAAATATGCAGAGAAAAGTCTAGAATAACTGTTCTCTGATAAGGTCTACCAAGCAGTTGATTAAAACAGATGGAGATACCCACAGCCAAAATTAGTTGAGCTCAAGGCCTCTTATGGAAGAGTTTAGGGGAAGAACTGAAGTCCCTGAAGGGAATGGGAATCCCACATGTAGACCAACAGAGTCAACTAACCTGGATGCCTGAGAGCCCTCAAAAACTGAGCCACCAACCAAAGAATGAGACCCTGGTACATATGTAATGACATGCACCTTAGTCTTCCTGGCTGCCTTGTCTGGCCTCAGTGGGAGAGGATATGTCTAATCTGACAGACACTTGGTGTGTCAGGATATGGAGATATCCAGGGCACTCCACCTTCTCTGAGGAGAAATATGAGATTTCGTCGGGAGGGAGTAAGTGAAGGAAGGATCAGGAGGGGGAACAGCATTAGAGATGGAAAGAAAGAAAGAAAGAAAGAAAGAAAGAAAGAAAGAAAGAAAGAAAGAAAGAAAGAAAGAAAGATGAAATATGTAGATTTAGCCCTAACATTGTGTGATACTGTTTGTAAGTTGATTCTTATAAAATGTATCAAGAATAAAATTAACTATAAGTTAACTTCAAAGCTTTTAAACCCACAGGAGTGTAAGTTTTGCTCTTCATTTACACTTTTATATAATGACAATGATAAAAGTGGAAATACATATTTGTTGAAAAGAGCAAGTTTAAAACTATCTTGCATCAAAAAAAATCAATGGATGTAGGAATCCCACTTCCTTGCTGCAAATTTGTTCTGAGAAATGTGGAACTATGCTTACCATCATACCTCCTGAGGATTCAACAATCCAACTAAATTAAACCTAGAACAATAATTTCTTCAATCATACCAAATTAAACTAAGCTAAAGTAGTAAGTGTACCAAGATGAACCAATGAATAACTCTGAGTGTTCTGTCATTTTGAGTGTTAGATATTAAGAGGTACTGAATCAAAGTTATTTATCATGCAACTTAGTAAGTTTACGGTCACTGCCCTTCTGACTAACATGCCTAGCAACAAAACAATGAAGGATAATTTGATAATTATTAACGATTTGCATATTGAACGATAATAATGAGCTTACAAACTGTGCTGTCAGATGATATTAGTTATTTTGAATAATGTCGTGTGCAGGCAAGTCTTCTTCCAATGTTTGAGCTGCTTCTTTTCACTATACACATAAAGCATTTAACCTTTACTCCAAAGATCTTAAGATAATATCACCATAGTGAAGCAGATGTAGTGGATTCAGACATCCATGAAGCTCTCATTTTAGTGTGTAATTTTATAGCATATTTGATTTAATGTATGACATTAAATTCAGGTCACTTTAGATATTAAAATGCTGGTTTCCAAAACAAACAATATTATCTATCTGTAAACTTACACAGAAAATAGATGATATAGAATAAGTCCCCAAGAAATAATTTAGCAAACAAAATACTTTAGATAGTATATGCTGCTGATAGCAAACTCATACTACAGCCCATACTATATTTCATTTTGTGTGTGAAGTATAAGATTGCAAAACTACCTTAAGACACAAATCTTTATGTACACCTTTCTGTATTTCTGTAGATACATTCATTTATCTATATCTACTTACTAAAATTCAGAGATTATTACTTCATCATGATTGTCATGGTTCAGAATTCAGTTACAGGCTGCTATTTGTTTAGAAAAAGCTTAATTTGGTAAAGAGTCTTTGGATGACAGTTTTAAAGAAAATATTTAAGGATATTACCTCCCCTAGTCTTTCCTACATGTTGGTGTTACATGTACCACCATACTTGGCTTATGTAATTAGATTCTATTTAATTGTATTCTATATATAATATATTTTATATGAATTTGAAATGGAATATATACATTATATGAAATAAACTAAGGCAATGTAAAATAGATATAAATTTAAATCTCATTTAGTTTCCCACTATGAAAGGATAAATTAAAGTAATATATTAGCTGTAAATAGTTTATCAAAATTTGCTTCATGATTCTTCTGCCTTGAGTGAATATGTGGCCTATTATTTCTATCTATTCCAGTATTTTGGAAAGCCATCTGCCAACTCTAAATATTTTAAAATATTTCTAGTTTATACCATACCTATCAATCATGTATTTTTTTAAGAAGTCCAAGAATAATTAAAGGTTTTTTTCAATCTGCAGTAAACATCTAGTAATGTTCAATGAAAGATCTGTGTGTGTGTATTTACCTTAAGAGACTCCTCTTGCTTAAAGAGATCTTCAAAATCTTTAGCACAGAGTTCAGGAGCACTTAAAAGTTGTTCCACTTCTGAAAGAGCTTGTAAGATATGACTGATCTCGGTCAAATAAGTAGAAGGCACATAAGAAACATCCAAAGGCATATCTTCAGTCATCACTACCATGGTTTCTTCATGGAGAGTGTGCTGGTACGGATATATAAAAGAACACTTTTTAGCTTTCTAATAATGAAAAAGGCCTTTATATTGATTCCAGTATATTGTTGACAGAGAGCTAGAAAGGGATTAGAAATAATCAAATGACATTATGTCCAGTAAAATGGTTATATATTCTATTCACATATTTTCATCTTTCAAAACATTTTTGATGAGCTCCACACACTTTAACACTCCACATTGAAGATGAAAGACAAGAGTCATAAAGTTGGGAAGAAGGTAGTTTCACTTTAAAAAAAGCATAATATCAGAATTTACCTTTTACTGCTAATTATAACTTTTGTTCTTTTCATGAAAAGAAACACTTTTTGTTTTCTTGTAGTCTTGATTGACGTATAGGATTCAAAAAAATTTTTTTGATCAAGAATGAATATACCTTTCCCCCAACCTGTAGACATTGGCTCAACCTTTCAATGCTAGCTTGTTATTAAATTAATTTGCTAATTAAACTGTCAAATAAATTAAGTTAACTTTAAAATTCCTACTATTGCAGAAATTCCCAAGGTTTGTGTTGATTCTACATTTTCTTAACTGGTGTCCAAATGCATAGAATAGTAAAGTTCCAGACAGTTTTTGAGTTTGCCAGTAGTACTTATTCACTAGTCTTCATAAATACAGTGGGTAAATGCAACTTGGCATGCAAATTCAAAACAATGGATGACCTCTGCTCTTTTGGGTATAAAGCATAGGCAGCGACATTCTTGTAATTGAAATTATTCTCCCAGTAACTTTGTTCTCAATTGATCAACTGCCACCTGCCTGTTGATAAGGTCAGCTGAGGGCATCAGTTGAAGGCTCTGTGGGGAAATTCAAACAATAACATGCTAACACAGTCCTTTATTATTGCTGTCTCTTTGACAGAGCCACACACATTTTTTACAATAACATAACTAAATGGATTGTGGAATCACATACTGAACTAAACTCAAGATGTGTAAAAACTATAGGCTAACTAGTTTGGACTCCTTTTAATTTCCCAGGCTTGGGATTTGTATACTTAATATGTGAATGACAGACAAGTAAAATTTATTCTAATATATTTGTCTTATCTAAACTATGTTGTAGCAAACACAGAATTGCACAGGTCCATTTTGAAATCACATATAATTTATGAAGTTGGTTATATTTAAATCAAAATTTTGACATATTTTTCATCATCAATAAAATGGTAACATATATGCATTTCTAACATGCAATTAAACTGATCAAAGAAAGATAAGCTTGAGTTTGATGAAGACAATTTAAAATGTAACCATAGATTTTAAAATCTCAATTTTATTTCTGCAATTTAAATCAAACATTTCAGTAATTTAATATATATGCACATACATATACAAATAATTTAGTAGGGTATTTGAATGTGAAATTTGTACTGACATTATGTTCAACACTATGTAAAAGTGTTAGCACAAAAGTCAAACAAATTTATTATTACATGCATGCATGTTATTTATACAGGTGATTATTTTGTCATAAGAAGTCATATGGAAACCTACTACTGAAGAAGCTTTCTAAAATGTGTGTGTATATATATATATATATATATATATATATATATATATATATATATATAATCTATATGTAGATTCATCCTATAATAGGGAGAAAATTACGAGTATTAAAATTTAAATTGAAGAGCATTCAAAGAAAATGAAATATAGAACTATTAAAGCAACTGACAATGAAATTCTGCAAAACATGTGATCATAAACAGCATAAAAAATAATTCTTGTTTTTTATTTGGCCATGACAAAAGTATGATATCCATCCTGATTATATCTCTGAAAGAATTTCTAATTACAACACTCATTTTATAATTTGAATATACTATTATCAATTCATTAATACATGACACGCAGCTGCCATATAGAACAAAATTTTAGGAATACAAATTATTTGAAAATTAGAACATCTTTTAGTTTTTCTGAGATATTAAAATAATGTAAGTAACTCTTCAATAACATTAGAAATTGGCTGTTTCATAAACTTTAAAACATTCAGCATCTTGACATGCAATAATTTTACATATAAAAATAAATCATAATTTTTATGTGTTCTAACTTTCTGTTCATTCTTTAAGTGTATATGATTATTTTTTGACAGAGCTATGCAAATATTCACTGAATGAAATGGATCCACTCTTTATCTTTCAGTTTGATTTCATAAAAGTTCAGATAGTCATTATAAAGTCAATGTAATTGGAAGTATCATGTTCATTTTCTCTTCTTTATGCAAAAATATAAGCACTCACATTCAAATTAAGCCTTTTCATTCACTATGCTTTAGGTAATTGTATTCTCCTGAATTCTGATGTGTGCAAATCCTGTCTCACCTTTTGAATTTTGACTTGTTTTTTATTAATGTTAATATTAATTATATATGCATATATCAATAGGAAGCATGCAATTGCCACCTTAAACCATATTACTTGTCTTTTTGCCATTTTCTAAATACATATAGACAAAATAAAGTACATTCCTCATTTTTCTGTCAACAGAAAAATAATCTGTAAAAGCAAGCACTAAAGTTTCTATAGTTATTTAGAAATGGAAAATCTAAGCAGTATTTATAAATAATTATTTTAAAAAATAATCTACTGAGATTTGTAGTGTTTATCTCAAAAAGAGTTGAGAATTTGAGTTCTGAAAGTAGGTAAACC